GGGCAGCCACTCGTTATTTTCCTTTTCTTGATTTTGGAGGGCGGGCAGCCACTCGTTATTTTCCTTTTCTTGATTTTAATTTTCTTTTTTTATTTTCAAAAAAAAAAAAAAGAAATAAAGATGATCGGATTTTAGAAAAAATCAATTTGGCTGCAGGGTGTGAAGGGACGCCCCACTGGCGGCAACCAACAAAAATCCCAGTGACCAGTCGACAAAGCGGCCAGAATCAAATTGGAATTTTCCGCGATGCTGGCCTGAAAGCAAAGCATCCACTGGGAACCCGGCGTGTCAAGCGCGGCGATCAGGCGGAAGGGGCGTTCCGGCAGCTGTACGATGGAGGATGAAGATAATAGTATGTACTGTAGTATCCTGTGGACGAAGAGGAGGTCCAACCACCGGGGCGAGCAATGAGCATACGTGTGGTGTGTGTGTGGCCTTGGTGCAGGTATGGATGATGTCGGTGGTGTTTGAGGAATGTCAGGGTGATTCCGTTTCAAGGCAGAGAGAGAGGTTCAGTTGTGAGTTGATGCGTCTAGTGGGATCGAAGGGACCTGTCGGGGATTGAAGGTACATTTATCTAAAAATGCGCTGGAATTAATATTTACGATTTAATTAGTCGACATATTATCTGACAGCCGACCCCGGTTGAGGGGCGTGGATCTATCGGTTTTCTTTTGTTCTTCCATTATTTAATTTATCCTTGGGCTGCTTTGGTGCTCTCGTCCGGTCCGCGGCCCGGGGACTCTCGGATATGGGGGGGGCCAAGGCGTGGGGATCCGGTGTCAAAGAGAAAGAATGAGTCAACTCCTTTTTCCTTTTCCGATGGCTTTTCTTCGTGTTAGTGCACTCTGATTCACACCCACCATACTATTCAGTACGCAGTACGGAGTACTGGTATCCTGGTATCCTAGTATACTTACTCCGTAGTCTCGACCAGGTACTCCGTAGTATACGGACAACTCCCGACGAGGCTGACATGATACGAGTCTCTCCGTCGGTCATCCTCCTCGGAGGCTGACGAGATTAATCAGAAACAGAGCATCGCCTCAACTAATTACTCCGTCCCAAACACGCCCCCATTTCCGACCGGCGGTTTCATCGTGCGTCCCTCTGGGCTGTACATCTCACCCCGCCTGTTGTCTGCTACGTAGCAACCGTAAGTCTACGCTTGGATCCGCGATATCCTCTTCAAGCGCAACGCGCGGGCGGTTTTTGGGTTGTTGTGCAGCGCAACGGGGGGTTGCGGTCTACCAGGGTTATCTGTCGGTCAGTCCAACTGTTCGGTCAGGCCAACTTCCCCTCGCTGCAGCTTTGCGCAAGACCCCTAATTCCCGGACGAATCATGGACTTGTGACCTCACCGCTTCGGTGTTTGACATCCTGATGGATGTCGACATACATCCGCCCGCTGTATGTATGCACGGCTGGATGTATATACATCTGGCGATAACGGTAGCGGAGACTCACTTCTCCAACGCGTTTAGGCTTTCCACGCACCCCTCGTTGCGGTACCTCTGGCGCCCATGGTTCGTGGTGGTGGTCTGGCGGTCAGGCAGGCAAACAAACCCTCGGACGCCTCCCGGGCATTGTTAGCAGCGGTTCGTTCTCAGGCAAACCGGATGGGTTCTGACTTCTTTTCTTTTGAGTCGTAGTCAATATTCAGCTCGTGCCAGGGTCTAGCCGCTGATAACAGAATAACGCGGAAGCACACGAAAAAGAAAGGGTGGCCGTGGGCAGTGTGGTTGGTACCTAATCCATGCGCGGTATCCGCGGTGGGCCCGGGTATTCCCTTATGCCTGCCTTGCCTGCCTGCTTGCCGGCTGACTTGACCTTGCTCCGGATGTGTCTCCCGCTGATGTTCCCGTAGTCAGGCTCATCTTGCGGTTCCCACGATGGACCGACCTTGGCAGGTGGCATGGCGAGGCACGATTCTCCATTTCCATCTTTCAACCATGGAACCTCTGAATACGGCCGGATCCGGCTTCGGATCCGCTGTCAGTGTCAAGTGTCAACAGACGTGGTTTCCTGGAACCATCCACGATTAAAAGGCCTCTGGTTCCCGTCGGCCCCACGACCCACTGGTCTGCCAAGTATACCAAGATTACCCCAGACTCAGTGACAACTGAGTATGTCAGACCGTCAATACACCAACATCACACCAACACATACATTTACCGGTCGGAAGAGTGAGATGGACCCCCAATCTACTCCGTTGGCCCCGGTCTGCTCCGTAAGATGGGGGAGGCGAAGCGCCTCGGCTGGGGTCCGTTTCAGCCTGCAAACTACAATATCCAGGCCACTTTGCTCGAGCGGGATTTTACTCCTTTCGGATAACCGTAGCCAGCGCGAAAGAGCGAGCGACCGAGGGAAGGATTACTCTTTGTATGCACTCGAGCTAGTTGACGATCAATGGCCAGAGGCGAATGCACGGTTAATCGGCGCGGGTGAAGGCCTTGGCCTAGCCGGGAAGAGCCTCGGCAGTGGGGGCAGTGGATTTATCCTTTGTCTGCCACCATCGAGTCGCAGTGTGTTGGGTTCGTTGTACGGAGTAGTGTTTGTTGTACTGCTAAGTATAACTATGTGTTTCTGACTACAGGACAGCGTGTTTCAGCACTGAACGAACACCGAACAACAACGAGACGATGTATCAGCTGGCTGCAGGTAAATGTGTGAGATATATATCAAACCTGGGGTGATGCCCATTTCATACAGGTAGCGATCTAATTCTAGACGCTTGGTGCTTTGCATATGTACCCCTGACTAGCAGTAAAACTGTACTCTACCAAAGTACCAGACCAGCTGGGTTATCCTTTAACTGCAACCTCACGCGCAGCTGCCACAATCAATTCGAAATAGCAACGCTTTGAAGCCGGGCACATGCGCCATCACCAGCACTATTAGACGGGCTGACTGGCTTTCTACCGTTGGGGCAGCTGATTGGCGTGATCAGGAGGACAATGAAACGGCCAGCCAGACGTGACAGGATGTCAGTTGACGAGTAACCCGGGTAATTGGAGCAGCCAGCCGGCGCCGAGGTTCTTTGAAGTTTGAACCTGACGGGCGGGTCCAGGACCAAAGGGTAGTGAAAAAGGTACCCGTTCGACGCTCTAGACCGTCGGGGCTAATTTCCCCGACACACCAAAGCCAGAAATCAGATAGTGCTCGATCCACGATCAGTCACTCAATAGTGTGTGGGAGTGTGTGTCGCGCGGGTTCCGGAACCACGTCCGGCGATCGAACCGCCGTGCTGGATTTCCCCACCGCTCGCCCGATCGGCGCCATTTTAATCTTTTAGAATTTGGGCATTTTTGGGTTCAGCAGGGATCAGCGTCCCGATTGGGTAGCTTCAGCTGGACTACGGTCCTACTAGGTAGTTATGCCCCTCGCGGTCTAAGACTCATCACTTCATGAAGTACGATGTATGTCCTCATCAATGGGACGCGGATAGACCCGCGGAATCACGGTACGAGTTGCCGTCCCCGGTCGGATCATGGACTTTTGCCCCTTTTTTTCTTTTCTTTTTGAATGGGGTCAATTCTTCACGGGGACCCGTGAGCCAGGAATGGCGGACAGCTCCCCGGTGGCTGCAGTAGTTCTCTGCGGGTGAATGGATGTCAATGGAGTACTGGTACCTTGGACCGCCCTGATGATACATCCGGTCGCTCTGAATGGTGTATCGTGTGGATGATGACGACGAACTGCCCCTACTCCATACCTCTGCACATGTGCATTCCAAGCTGCTCCTTTCATGATGTAGCGCGTCCCGACGCACTGGCCTACTACATACATTCCAGCAGAAGTACTCCGGACCCATATGGGGTACTCCATACTGGGTATACCTATCGACTCAGTGGTAGTGGTACCGCATCTGCAGACATTCCAGACGGCCCCATTTCCGATCGAGTCGATCTATCGACTGATTGGAACCGACCTCCCTGCTCTGTTGCAGTGTTGTCCCATGATCCCGGATACCTCCTGCATTTCCACCCACCAAGCTCCTCCTGCAAGGCATGCGACAGCTTACGTGGTGACTCAGTGCGACCGCTACCCCTCATGGTGGTGCAAAGTACCGATTGCTCCGGGACGCAGTGCAACTTGTGTCCGCCACCTTGCAACCTCCTGTATGGCGTCTGCAGGGACTGTCAACCGTGATCCTACCTACGCAAACAGCGGTGATTCACCGCTTCTCCGTTATTGGTTCTGACGCTGCCATGGCATTGTTGCTGGAACAATCGAGATGCGTTTGTTACCCTCAGGCATCTGATGCATCGATTTTAGTGGCAATCGGACTTTTGCATCGCCGACCGGGGCAGAATCAATGTGGATGAAACATTGGAAGGACACTAGAAGCTAATCAAGACTGACGATCCAGCCAGATGGGACAGAGAGCCCACTACATCCACCACGGCCTTGTCCGGAGTTTAAGTCGACTGGCTCGAGCTCTGGGATGGACAGAGCACATACCACTTGTCCGGGGACCACATTGCTGCACAACACCAGGACGGGGAAGGGATCCGGGCACGGATGAGAAATAAGGTGTCTCCCTCGCAGCGGATGTAGCAGACGGATGCCTGGCCGCGGTTCCGGCTGCACTGATTCCCGGTTTGGATACCAAGGGAGCTGTGAGGATCTGGCGGATACAACTTCCTGTCGATCGGGTCCATTCATGGGAGACCCATCATATGTATGGGGTCATTTGGAATGTATATTTATACCCGCAGAATGAGGCGGGTGTGGCGAAGTGGCTGATCTGTCTACATAGTACTTCAGCCACCCAGTAGGTTCTACTCTGTACAGAGCGAGACATCATCTCCGTACTAACGCAGTACAGATCAGCCGCGCAAACCAGATTATTGAATATTGTCATCCATCTGACCGACGCAGTCAGTCGGCCGTCAATAAACTCACACATGGATGTCCTACACGGCATGCGTACAGCAGACAAAGCCATTATACTCCGTGCCGTACAACAGGTTCGACCGTGCAACCCGAGCGTGCGACGCTGACGATTCCATTCCCATTCCCATTCCCATGCCATGCGGAGTCTCCGGATTTCCGCCCCAGATGGGGAAGTGGTGCATGACTTGCGTGGTCATGGAGTCGTATTTTGATTCCTCCTGGGAGCCTCATCAGAGCCTCGTCTGCCTCACTCATCTCGTAATCGCTTTCGCCTCGTTGTGATGCTAGGGTGCCATCGATTACTTCCACGGGGTCGGGGATTATTGGTCGTGGGGGACACGTTTATACCTCCATCGTCATCGTCATCCTCCTCCTCCTCCTCCCCCATCATGAGGTTTGATTCTGACAGCGGATGATTCTGGGGGTGGCGAATCTCGGGAAGAGCGACATGTCTATTTTGAGGCTATCTCGGTTAGATATACACATACACAACCAGAACCATGGTAAATAAGCGCTGTCGGTGTCTCCGTTTACTAATCTGACTTTCGTGATCCGAGGGACGCGGAAGGTTGATAAATATAGGTACTTCGTGTCCTCATACTTCAATCACGATAGGGTATCTCGAGTATGGAGTGAAAGTATACCACCATAGATAGATAAATAGTAAGTGGGAAGAGTATATCCCAAAACAGCAACGAAACCCACCGTTCGCGCTCAGGTTCACCGTCTCGGCTATCCATGTAACCCATCCATCTGCCTATTCACCCCGCCAACACGGTGAGGAAGGGAGAAGTAAGGTGTGGTGACACAACCATGAAAGTCATTTTCACCATCATCACCACTTTCGTCATCGTCATCATCGTCATCACCTCCCTAGATTCACCACTTCCAGGATGATTTGGAAACAGGTTTCGCTATGAGCCGGAAGTAGTAGACAGATAAAATAAAAATAAATGAAAATGGATGAATGGATAGATGAATATCGGTCGCCTTATCTCCATCCTTCCCCCTCCACAGTAATAATAGTAATCTACCGGCCACCCCGACAGTATCTCAAAGCCCATGGAGGGGTAGCTGCCACATACGATAGGATGCGATAAGCAAAGCAACGTTCTCGAACGATTCTAGGCCCGATATGCCGACAAGGTATCTAAATAGTTAAGCAGTACTCCGTATGGATTAGAAATCTGACTTAAATCCCCACCCACCCACCCACCTACCTACCTACCATCCCACCTCTATCATTAACAGCGATAATAATATATTTATTTTGGGATGATATTTTCGATCGCATAACAAGGCTAATAATATACTTAGACGATGTTTCCGCTGACAATATTAATAATGGTGGTGATGATGATGGGATGGGGTGGTGGTAATGGGGTGAAGGTACATGTGATAACCCCTCGGATGATTAGTTGGTTGGGTACCAACTAAGTATCTACCTCCTATCCGTAAGTGTAGGGTAGGGTATCAGCCTAACCGCGTTTCATCTCCCGTCCACTCTTAGCTAAACTCTGCACTCTGCATGTTATGATAAGCGATAAGAATTATACGGAGGGAGGATGTCGGGTAGATCGGTTAGCACGGCATAGGATTAGAAGTAAATCAGGATCAGGATCATGGAAGAGGGTGTGGAAGAGACGTGGGTAAGACCCGGATTGACTCAGACTCAGAATCATGGTAATTCGGCGTGGGGGTATCCATCCATTCTTCCCTATTACCCATCTACGGGAGTCCTTCACATGGAGTTATCCCATCGGCAAATACGAAACCATTATAATATGGAAGGAATAAAGGCTATGGATAATAGTAGTGGAAGAGAAGCGCTAATCGCGCCGGTAGTTTCGTCCACGTGTAGGGAAATTACCTCCTCATTCCTCCTCCTCCACTTCCGTTACTTTTCCTGTGGTGGACTCCGTCGGATAATCAATCCTTCGTCTACGGAAAACTTTCCTAGGTAGTTGGTTGATTGTAAGTGTAATCAGGGTCGGAGTACATCGGCGATATATCCCATACTATTCCTAATCCCTAATTCCCACCAAGATAGTTATTCCGTCGAAGAAGTGAGTTATCCCGTGTCATATCTGGACGGATAATATCCGAACTCAAGTATTCCCACCAATTACCGTCTTTCTTTGCCACATGCTTTACTTCCATTTTTACTCTTAGGTAAGATTACGGAGTCACCCTAGCAATAGTTAGGGATCTAAATAGGGAGTAGAGTCTAGACCATCTACCGAGTTAGTCTTACCCATCAGAATCCAGGTTCTTGTTAGCTTTCTTCCAGAAGAATCCCGGCTTTCGGCTAATTGCAGCTAAGTGGGTGTGTCACGGCAACCGTTTCCCGTTATTTTCAGGGTTTAAGGTCTGCGGTGTGCGGTGCTGTGTTGTGCTAGGTGGGTGGGTGGTGGGGAACTAGCGGTGAATTCAATTTATATCTACTCCATCTACGGAGGGCATAATCATGTGGCAGGGTGTATATATCTTGTGGATACACTTACTGGATGGGAAGAGGGGTAAAGTAAGGTGGTGTGTGGTTATCGTATACTGCAGTGCATCTATCGATCTATGTATGCTATGCGATGCTAGGTATAGGCTAATATCCGATACTATTCACATGGAGGGTAGGTATCTAGCATAGATTCATTCCAGGTTCGGTGTACATGTGTACGTAGACAAACTCCACAGAAGACTCAATGCTTCTAGCATTCTACTGTATTCAGCAACGACCTACCCACCTACCTCTCCACCTCCTAGTAGGACTATCTATCTAAGTACTATGTAGATCCCCGTTAGATATACATCAACTAGTCAAAATAAACTTCCCAACACCCAAATCAACAAAGAAACCCTACCCGTTCGATTTCTTTCCCTAACGAGAATCTATCTAGTAGCTACTATCCTTGCGTGCGGAGACGGGCATTTAGCGGTGAGCCATCTACCACCCACCACCCACCACCTACCTCTATCCAGTTAGATAGTACGAGATGCTGTGCTGTGCTGTGCTGTGTTGTGCTTGTGTCATGACTCGTGTTTGTTTATGGAGTCTGGGGCTTGGGGCTGGGGGTCAGTGTTCGTGTCCGTGCCCGTGCCACATGAGTGGATCCTCGTTGACCGTTTCGGTTATCTTGATTCTGGATTCTTGACCGTTTTTTGATGTTGCGGTGGAGGGGTTGGGATTGGCATTTAGCATTCGGGGGCCATGTGGCGGTGTTGTGTGGTTGGTAAGTGGTGAAGATCATGGGTATGGATGTGGATGTGGGTATGGATAGCTGCGTGTTTGATGGAAGTTGGTACTTTTTGTGGACTCGGTTGGGTTGGTCTAGATTTTGGGTGCTTTTGCTGGATTGGGTTGGCGGTGGGGTTTTTGATGTTTGTTTTAGGGAATGGACTTTTGGGAGTTGATTGTTTGCTTGGTTGTTTGTGTGTTTGCTTTAGGGTTGGTTTTTGGGTGATTATCGGGGCTAGCTAGAAGTACGGTGTAGATTAGATTGGTGTATGTTTGCTGGGATGTTGATGGTAGGGGGTTGTTCTGTTGAATTTGATAGATGTGGATATACATGATTTGTGTTTGTAGGGTAGGAGATGTAGACTGAATCTGGGTAGCTAGAGGTATGGTATCTGCTGATATAGATGATTATAAGTCAAAGGACAATTTTTGGGCGGAGGATTGGGTGTATGTAGACTATTCTATGTTGACCTACTTAGCAGATGGTCCAGTGAATGGATAGGTTATAGATCTGAGTAGACACCCTTCGACATGACATATCATATGAGTTTGAATCTAGTCAAGCTAGGCGATGAACGCGTAGATGGACAATGCATTCTCTAGCTTGTTAGCTTGACAGACACACAATTTGCTCCCGCTGTTAGCTGTCATATTGGCATCTAGCGTATATTGATGACCAGGTGATCAGAAGTAAGGGTTTAAGCCAAGCGAGAGCATGATGAAAAAGTATAAGAACGCACTAACCGACATCCGCCAACGCCGGAGGACTACGGATGGGTCGATTAGAGTGAGCCTCAGAGCTAGCGCTGGTACTAGCATCAGGTTGTTAATCTATAGGTGCTGTGGTATAGATGGCGCGGCTCATATCTAACCTTGTCATCTGGATGTCGTTATTAGTGCTGTCAGAGCATTGTTTGCAGTGCACCACAAACTCCATGTCCTAAGATACACTAGTCCTCAAAGTGCCCTTTTGGTGCCATGCTTGCTGCCATTATGAGGCTGCCAGCTGCCACTGCAAGAGCTACGTGCAGCTATGCACCATGTCAGGTACACACTCAGTACTTCGATGCAAGTCATAGCAAGTGAGCCAAAGCTCCAACCATCAGAACCCGTTGGCCCAGTGCCCTGCTGCTGATAGAATGACTGGCATATCTGACTGGTCAATTTCCAACATGGCCTCTGTTCGAAGAATATCATCAACCGAAGCATTGCTTCGAGTGTAAGTAGCTTAGTTTTGGTAGACCGTCAGCTGAGTAGACTCAGCTACCTTGCTGCATGTAGAAGGGCAACTCTCAATCTAGCTTGCATTTCAGGCTAGAAGCAACGGCGTTACCGGACTTATGAGCAAGCCATGTCGGAGATAAATCATATTTCCGAGCAACGCATTATATAATGCCTAGAAGCATGAGTGCTGACAATCAGGACAGTAAAGTACCTTATAGAATCGGAATGGCAGCAAAGTTGGTTCTCATCACTGGTACTGACCCACCCCACAGCCAAGTTTGCATCGCTAACAGATGTAGGTGCAAACCAAGGCATCGGCTTCGAAACTGCCAAAAATCTCATCCTTTCGGACAATTACCATGTCATCCTGGGATCTCGAGACCCGGTCAAAGGTGAAGAAGCAGCCAAAACTCTGCAGGCCATCCCCGGTATCAAGGGCAGCGTGTCGTCAATCCAGATCGACGTAACAGACGACAAGTCCGTGGATGACGCCGCTGCGCAGATCAATTCGCAGTATGGACGGCTTGACATCTTGGTCAACAACGCCGCCATGAACTCTATGGAGGAACCTCCCACCCGGGAGACCATGCGCAAGGTCCTAGATGTGAACGTCGTCGGCGCACTCAGCACCACGGAAGCTTTTCTCGACTTGCTTCGGAATTCATCTGAGAAACGGCTCGTATTTGTATCATCAAGCACAGGCTCCATCGCCCAGGCAGCAGACCCAAAGTCCCCTTTCCATCGATCTGGTGCTACCGAGTACCGGGCCAGCAAGGCGGCACTGAACATGATGATGGTCCTATACCAGTGTCGACTCGAGAACGAGGGGTTCAAGGTCTTTGGAGCCGACCCAGGACTATGTGCCACCAATCTCACTGGCGACCCCGAATCTCTGCGCCGCAGAAACGCAGCCGAGCCATCTGATGGCGGAGAGCGTGTAGCAACGGTGGTGAAAGGGGAGAAAGATGCCGATGTCGGGAGGGTGTTGGGCGTCTATGGTGTATCACCATTTTGAAATTATGTACATAGTGACCAGATGCTGTGTGGATTATAAAGAAGAATTCCGCTTTCATCCTCTTCGTAGTCTTTGATCTGCTTGTGTAGAGGGTGTGGAAGTATAAGTCACATGAGGATGAGTCATGATCACGGGAGCGGGGATGTTGCGGGCTCATCACTCATTGCTAAAAATTGTGGAAACATGCCACTTCCACGATTCCCCCTCGTTAGCCGGTCCGTCTTTCTACGCCGTTTCAGTCGTTCGGCCATCATGGAGAGTCGCCAGCAGCCTCCCTGGCAACAGCCCCCCGCTCACCCCGACGCTCGCCTCCCCCCCCTCAAAGTATGGAACTCCTTGACCAGGTCCAAGACTCCCTTTGTGCCTTTGGACCCTCAAGGCCGGAAAGTTAAGTGGTACGCCTGCGGTCCGACAGTCTACGACGATGCGCATCTGGGTCACGCCCGAAACTATGTCAGCACCGATATCCTGCGCCGTATCCTGCGGGACTACTTCCGGTTCGACGTCGAGTTTGTCATGAACATCACGGATGTCGATGACAAGGTACGTGTCATTACCGCCCCGCCATAGCTCAGAGGGTTGACAAGTCGCTCCAAGATCATCCTCCGCGGTAGACAGCAGCACCTGTTCGACAAGTACGTTACTGCGCACCCTACGGTTACCCCCGACGTCCTCGAAACCGCACGTGTCGCATACAGCGCCTACGTCAAGAAGAACCTCCCGCTGGTCGATCCCGAAACGAAACCGGAGAACTTTGTCGCGGAGGCTCAGAAGGTCTATGGGGTAGTGCTCCAGGGTGGCGCGCTGGAAGCGGACAAGAAGCCTGGTGATGCGGAGGTCAAGATCAAGATGCACATCAAGACCGTAACAACAACGGCATTGGCCATTGCCGAGGCCACCAAGAAAGGCTCGAGGATTGACGCGGCTGCCAGCAAGGCTTTCTACAATGCCGCTCAGGATGTCTTCTGCTTCTATCTGGACGTGACGGAGGGAGCGACAATTCCGGGCGATGCGCACGAGATCTTCACGAAATTGACGAAAAAGTACGAGGACCATTTCATGAGGGATATGCGCGATCTGAACGTTCTCGATCCCGATGCGGTTACCCGAGTCACCGAATACGGCCAGCAGATTGCCGACTTTGTCGAGAAAATCGTCGCAAACAAATTCGGCTACGTGACCTCCGATGGCTCCGTCTATTTCGACATCAAGGCCTTTGAAGCCGCTGGAAACCACTACGCACGACTGGAACCGTGGAACCGCAACAACCAGCCTCTGCTGAGAGATGGTGAGGGTGTGCTGTCTCGCGCAACCGAGAAGAAGTCCCCGGATGATTTCGCCCTGTGGAAGGCATCCCGTCCAGGAGAGCCTAGTTGGTCGAGCAACTGGGGCCAGGGACGCCCAGGCTGGCATATTGAGTGCTCAGCAATGGCGTCGAGCTGCCTGGGAAGCCAGATTGATATCCACTCCGGTGGTATCGATCTTGCCTTCCCTCACCATGACAACGAGCTTGCCCAAAGTGAGGCTTACTGGTGTGAGCACAAGCAGCAGTGGGTCAACTACTTCCTGCACATGGGTCATCTGTCCATCCAGGGATCCAAGATGTCCAAGTCGTTGAAGAACTTCACTACTGTCAAGGATGCCCTTGAGCGCGGTGACTACACGGCCCGTAGCCTGAGAATTGTCTTCCTGCTTGGTGGGTGGCGCGATGGAGTGGAGATCACCGATGACCTCGTCAAGAATGCCTCTTCCTGGGAGGAGAAGCTCAACAACTTCTTCGTCAAGGCAAAGGACCCATCTAGCTTCCGGTCCGGATCCGACGAGACCCCCACACCAGCCACCGAGACGTTGGCTCAAGCCTTCAAGTCTACACAGGAGAAGGTCCACGACTACTTCTGTGACTCCTTTGATACCCCGAAAGTTATGGCTGCCATCTCGGAGTTGGTCACGACGTTCAATGCCCTGGACAGCCACACCTTGGACCCCAAGGAAGCGGAAGCTATGGCGACATGGATCACCCGGATTGTGACGATCTTTGGCTTGAATGGCGCCACCTCCCCTGATAATTGCGGAATCGGCTGGGAAGGCACCGACATCCCTGAAGCAGCCAAGCGTTTCTTATACCCCCTGTCCGCTATGCGTGACTCCCTGCGCCAAGCTGCCATGTCCGGTACCCCGATTACTTCCGAGCAAGTTAAGGACATCGTTGGCACAACTACTACCGAGACAGACGTGTCTGAATCTGCTAAGCCGTACTCCGAGGTCTTGGACAAGTTTACTTCTCAATTAGCCTCATTGAGTCTGGAGGACTCCAAGAAGGCGTCCAAGGACATTCTTTCTCTCTGTGATAGTCTGCGGAACGTTGACCTCTTCAACCTCGGAATCTACCTGGAGGACCGTGAAAACAAGCCCGCACTGGTCCGTCCCGTCACCAAGGATATGCTGCAGGCCCGTGAGGAACAAGCGCGCAAAGCCTTGCTGAAGCAGCAAGAAAAGGAGAAGCAGGAAAAGCTTGCCCAGGAGAGACTTGAAAAGGGCAAGCTCAACCCCGTGGAGATGTTCCGTACCAGTGAGTACAGCGCCTGGGATGAAGATGGCATCCCGACGCAAGATGCAGCTGGTGAGCCCCTTGCCAAAAGTAAAAGCAAAAAGCTTCGGAAGGATTGGGAGCGCCAAAAGAAGGCTCACGAAGCCTGGCTTGCAAGCCAGGGAGCAAAATGATAGATTGCACGAATCAATGAATACATAATCCATTTGGTTGACCCAGAAGGATTCTGCTTTATAAGATTTCTCTGGTTCGAGATATCCGCTGGGATTAATGACAGTAGAGCACGCGTGTCGCCCAAGACGCTAAACAGTACAAATACCAACTTGGAGAGAGGCCAACCCAAGGTAAGCTGTATGCTGATGTCGCCCTCTATAACCCGAGATAACCGGTTGATCTTAGTGAACCATCAGATGTTTACTCGGATGATCGTGCCTGCTAGGCAACCACCGGGCTCGCCCCTCTATGTAGAGCCGTTGCCATTCCGGAAGGCATGGTTATGGACTAGCTGAGTGGAACTGGCCCCCACAATCTAGCCAGTCACTCCAGGGATTTGCATGTTCAAGCCAACTTACTGCCCGAGGAGCTAAAGTTCTCTTGAGAGTCTAAACTATACTGATGGCAAGGGTGGGATAGGACGGGTTAGAGTAAAAGAAATAATATCCACAGAGACCGTCATCGACTCGTCATGTTGATACCCGCGTTTGTCATAAGGATTAAGGAGCCAAATCTGTCGCATACTTGCTCTCGACGACGTCGGCATCCTTGGTCAACTATCACTGAAGAGCAAGGCATTTGTATTCACCTGATCCTGTCCTTCTCTGTGCGGCGTTTATGCAACCCCACCTTCGAACACACTCCGACTTCTTTGATGTTCTTGACATCTTGTGTCTCGATCTTCCAGTCAAGGCCTTGAGTATAGACTGGCCCAACATGGATTCTAGTCATGGCTACTGTAAGTCGAGCACCCAATAATGATGCATATCAGTTCTCAGTGTCTGCACAGTGACGCGCAGCCGTATGGCTAGGATTCGTGAAATCCAAAGCAACAGGATCTGCAGCCTTCCTATGGAGCTACTCGAAATGATCATCGCCCATCTCAGTATCTTTGACGCTCACTCTTTACATCATACATGCAGGTCACTCTACCATAGGTGTACTCCGCAAATTCCTCGGATTGACCCGCACACGATCGAGACCGATCTTTCCCGGCCCCATCTGCAGCAACTGACGAGGCTGACCGCAAGACAAGCCTTGTGTGTTCGAGAGCTGTCAATTGCCAGCCTTTCCGGTAGGCCCTTGGGCCTTGGTTATCCCGCTCCTACGCTGGCTCTCAGAATGGAGGAACTATGCGATGCTTTGGAGCGAGTTCTCCAGTCGTTCGAAAATTGCCGCACTATCCGAATATCTGCAGCAAGCATTAGGAACACCGAGGGGTGGAGGCACTGGATGGGTGCTCTTGATGCAGCTATTGTGGTCATACTGTCATTATCCGCGATCAAGTCAACCACTTGCTCAGTCGAATCGATCACCTTAGACTTGAGGGCAAACAGCACCGCTGCACTCATACGCGGTCGCTGTCAGCGGCTCGAATATCTTATACAACACGTTGGCTTTCCTAGGATTCCATGGCCCCTCAAGGAGTTGTCGCTCTATTTCAGTGCAGATACGGTGAAGTTGTGTGAATACATCATTCCTCTAACTCGCAACGGGTATACAACGAAGAGATGTTTCTTTGATTTCGGCCAAGCATACGCCGAACAATTCGCCCTGACTTTGTTGAGCCGTGGCTACCAATTTCAGGAGATCCGACTGTGCAGTATCAAAGGAATGCGCTCTGCTACGCTCGAGCAAGCTTTAGCATGTCATTACACTACTTTGCGGATCCTGCAAATGAAGGATATCCATTTTGAATCTGTCGACTGGTTATCTTTTCTGCGATGCCTAAAAGATGAATATCCTCATGTGGAAGAAGTTGACCTTGTTCAGGGAGACGATGCGGTCAATCAGGTAACAACACTGCTCCGGCTCCAATCGCAACATCCCCACTAATTGGTTTCAGGGCGCTACATTCACGCAGAATTGGAGGTGGGTAAAATGGCTCGACCATCAATTCAATGTAACCTACACTGGTCCGAGAGCGACCTATACTGGCCCGAAAGCGCATCTGATCCTCACAGCTCTTGCTACGCTGGCTCGTGAGGACGCCTCCCAATTCATCCTTGTCACACCCAGTCCATAGAGAGGTATCTCATTATCCAATGATTCTGAGAGAAGGGTCTGAAATCATGACTTTTGTCTACATGATGTGTATTCGCTCGAGGCTGGTGTTTTGTTGTGCAGACAGTTGATTGATGACGCAGATGTCAATGTACATCAAGTCTGGGTATCATGATACAAATGGCTTTGTTTGTATCTTGGGAACCAGATCCTTCGGAGCGCGGAGTATCAGTCTCGACTTTAATTTAATTGATATTTATCGCAGTTTGCTAGTAACAAGTCTGATCTGTTCTACCTCGTCATGTCCATGTTCATAAGAATGGGGTGGCTGCGAAACATCCTTAATCGACTCGTACTCTCACTGTGTCTCCAGAGTTGCAACAGTCCATAATTTACTCTCGATACTACGAAGATCCGAGGCAGCTCGGTAGGCCATCTTAACACTGTTCGAGGCTCTAGTAATCGACTCGTTGATGAAACAGTACTACGACTGTAGTCGTGCTGTGGACATGTAGGAAGTGAAACCACCAGTAAAGCAAAAAAAAAAAAAAAAAAAAAAAAAAAAAAAAAAA